CGACACGTCTCCGACTCTGAAACCACATAAAACCTCTTTCTAATCAACCACTTGCATTATTTCCCTTTTTGGAGAGACAGATATGCGAGGTCACGATGACATCAAAGAATAGGGTACCCTCGGTAACTTCACCGCACCCGTGTGCTGGAGGGTATGCTGCCTCTCTAAGAACCTGATTTTGCCAACCCCCTGATCTCAACAGAAATGCCAGAGCCCACTAGTTGCACTAGGAGGGATGGCTTTCAGAAGAGACAACTCATGTGAGTGTTTGCAGGATGAAGACATCATTCACGTAGACACTTCCAACGGTAGGGACTAGAAACCGTTGCTCTTGCACTTCATCTCACAAACCCTCTTGAAAGAACTTGCAGGGCAGAAATTCAGATAGCAGAGCTGGGAGCAGATGGAGGACTCTGGCAACTCAGCCTTGATAATGGGAGGAACTGGTCTCAACTGAAGCTCAGGAGTCCTGCTAAGGCACAGTTAGAGCATGAGAGCGGAAAAGTAGCAGGAAAAACAGGCCAGCAAGAAACCTTACTCCAGCCTTTCCAAAACAGTGTATTATTTCCATTAGCAGCCTGGAAAATTTATTACAGAAATCTTTGGGTACTGTCAAGAGCCTTGGAATGATGCATTTATCCATCAAACTACTACCACTGAATGAACCAGCACCCAATACGATGGGTAACACACCACTACCCTGATCATATTGATATGGTTAACTTTTTTTATTATTATTTACAGGATATCAGCTGGCTAGATCTGCTGCAGACTACACTAAGTTCTCACGTACAAAATACCCTTGGAGCCACCATATTTTCTCAGTCTTTCACAGCTCCTGTATGCCACAGTAACAGTTTTAGAGGGCAGATTCTTCAGAAGTACTTTTAATTACTATTTCCTCCTTAGCTAGAATGCATTAATTATAGCGTGTTCCTCCAGATAATAAGAAAACAAAGACCAGTGCACTATGAACAGTACAAGAAACTTAATTACTGAGTCAGATGTCCTTTAGATGTCAGTATGACCACAGTGAGGAGCAGGAAAATAAAACACACACATATCAGCCTCAAGTTGTTAGATCAGTTATCAAAACAATGTCTTTCCTCAGTGACTTCATTATGAAGAGCTCAACCAGCTAATTAATCAAACGCCTGTTACGCGTTTTGAAAATGTGTTTTGTTTTTTTTTTTTTAATAAAGGAGGCCTGCTGATGTATTTATTACAAAGTGAATGGGGTAAATGGTCATGCATGTAAATGCAGAAGTGCAGCATGACTTTGAAGTTTGAAGGTCAGATACAGTAACCGTTCTCATCAAGCTTCTTATGTCAGACTGCATCTTCTGTTTTGCATCTATGTTTAGGAGGAGGAAGAAAAGGAATTAAAAATAAAAGACAGAGACAACCCGTCTGGTGACAACTTAAGAAGAACTGGAACGCTATTAGTCACCTGTTTTCATTTAAAAATCTGCAAATACCCTATCTGCCCAAAACAAAGAAAGACAATGGAAAGGGTACTGGGGACACACACAATTTCATTCTGCTTTTCAACTTTGTTTTCCTCACCAGGAAGATCAATCTAATTAAGTCAGCAATGATTTTATGTTAAGAAGAGAATGTAATTTTCCCTATTTTCACAGACATTTCAAACTCGTATCTTTTAGGAGAGCTGGAGGATTTTCTTTTTGATCAACACCTTTTATTTCAAAGCAGTATAGATTTTACCAGAGATACAAATCAGAGGATTGCGTACTGATCTTTTTTCCAGGCATCAGAGAATTTATCCCTCACCCTTCTATATTCCCAGCCACTTTAGGATACAAAACTCAACAGCTGGGCCTGAAGGCAAACAAATATGCCTCATGTACCAGAGTCTGATCCACGTCAAAAAAAGAAAAAGAGTAACATGTATGGTTTAGATGCATACCTCAAAGACAAATAACCAATATGGATTTCTCTCTAGCACCACCACCGTGTTTAAACACAGTAAAACTGATAACACTTCCCAGTAAAACACTGAGTTATAAACAATCTCCTCTTACACATAAATAACAGAGACATTATACAAAGCAGACAGGAACATGGACGGATGTACACAAAATAAACACATTCAAACTTACCCCACTCTAGATACTCAAGGATGTTCTTCTCTCTTCTCAGAGGGGAATTATTACATTCATCATAAAGGCAGATGAGTATATCCAGCAAGGTTTCCACACTGAAGCATTGCCCATTAGTCTGAGTTGGCCCATCCAAAATAAACTGCTCCAACTGCTTCAAACGCACTTCTCCAGACATGGTTGTTTCAGTTTGCATTGGGGTTTCTTTTTTAATGATTATTATTACTTTGCCAAAAAAAACAACAACAAAAAAAATCTTTTGAGGGTTTTGTTGTTTAAAAATAAGTCAACAGTATTTTTAACAAGTGTCAAACTGTGGCGGTGCTTAATTTCCAGCCCACCTCGGCGTTCCCAGCCTGAAACTAAGCCCTTGTGAGTTTCAGACACACGCATATAGCATGTATATCTGTGTACACGTAATTTTTAAGAGAAGAAAACAGCTATCCTAAAAAAACAAAAATATTTTAATATGCTTAATAAGAAGTGGGAAAAAAAAAATATGGCCACTCCTGATGCTTTAATAATTGCACTCATTTTCAACCAAAGCTGACTGACACCGATTTCACCGTGCGTGCACGGGCATACGCACTTATCTATTTAAAAAGGTCTTCTCCTTCATTCAAAATGCAGATCATGCAACACGATCCTGAGCGGAGCCCCACCGCATCATTACAGTGTCACAGCCCCCTTCGGCTCCCACCAGCGCTTCACTTCCCAGAACGGATGGGAAGGGAAAAACACGGGCGCTTACACATCTACAGACACGAAGGGAAGGAGAAAGCAGGGCGCACACCGGCGGGGAGGGAGGGA